CATGCAAGTTGATGTAGAGTAGGAGCAAAAAAACATGGGAAGGGATTTAGCTTCTTCATCTTTGACTTTTGTTGACTTCCTCCTTTGTTTGACTTATTCAACACATATACATACCTATATATATAATACATATATATATAACACATACATATATATAATACATATATATATATATATATATATATATATATATATATATATATATATATATATATTGTTTAAAATGGTTAGTCACACATATGTGTTTTCGTCATTCGCGTGTTTTCGTATTTTCCATTTTATCACGCATTCATGCAACCTGAAATAACTGATAATATTTGTTAGATTGTATAAAAACAGTTCATTTTATTTCAGTTATGGTCACATACAAGGTTACATAAGAACATTTTTCAACAACCTTGTTGAAGTTATTTCCCAGCTGAAAGAAAACCTGTGTACTCGATTTCACATGAAAGACCTTGGAAAACTTCGACATTTTCTTGGTTTGGAAGTGAGATATGAGAAGGGAGATATTATGTTGCACTAAAAAAGATATTCTATTGATTTGTTAAACAAGTTCGGTATGCTTGACTACAAACCTTCTGTCACTCCAGTAGACACGAATGTAAGATTGTGTGCTAATTTTAGAAGGAAGTTGGAGGATACTACAATGTACAGGAAAATTGTTGGAAGCCTTATTTATCTCACGTTAACAAGACCATGCCTTGCATTTGTGGTGGGCCTATTAAGTCGTTTCATGTAGACACCAAGGAAACCACACCTTGATGCCATTCGTAAAGTCCTGAGGTACATTAAGACAACAATAAACTATGGTATAGTGTTTAAGAGGGAGCCAATGTGTAAGGTATCTGGATTTTGTGATATTGATTATGCCGGTGATCTGAATACACGTCGCTAAACAACCAAATATGTTTTTATGTTGGGATCTAGTGTTGTATCATGGAGTAGTAAATGACAACCAACTGTATCCCTTTCCACGACTGAGGCGGAGTATTGAGCAGCAGTCATGGCAGCTCACAAAGTGTGTGGTTGATCCAACTCTTAAATAATTTGAACCATGAGGTCGACTACAAAATTCCACTATTTTGTGACAACCTATCATCAATTCATCTTGCAAAGAACCCAATGTTTCATGCTTGAACAAAACATGTGGATGTTCATTATCATTTTATTCATGAAAAGGTGTTGAAAGGAGAAATTGATCTGCAATATGTCAAGACATCTGAACAAGTTGTAGATTCATTTACTAAAGGCTTGTCAAGTAAGAAGATGGCTCAATTCTGTGAGCAAATGGGAATGATCGAGATAGGTGTTGAGAGGGAGTGTTGAAGTACAACACCTTCTCTATCTCATGTCACATGCTATGCACATGTGTTATTTTACTTTAGTTTATTTTATGTTCTTTGACTTAGTGTTTTTCCAATAATGAGTAGTTCCTTATTTTTAGAAGTCATGTGGTAGAGCTTTAGTTTCCTCTAGTATTTGTTTTTCTTTATTCGTGTAAGCCATGATGGTAGTTGTTCTGTAGTTGCTTTTCGTAAATCAGAAAATTACAATTTGTGTAAGTGTAGAAAATCTCTTTTATCGCCTGTGAGTTACATGCTCTCGAAGCTGCCACCCTCCACCCCGGTGACCTCTTTAATAGTTGTCGAAGCTGCCTTTATTAGGTTCAATATTTTTCCTTTTCATCATTCTCTTCCTAAATAATAATACAACCGTCGTCTCCGAACTAGTTCTCCTTCCTTTTCTTCTTCTACTGCCTCATCTACTTCTCCCTCCTCTTTGGATGGCCCCTGCCACTAGGCCTTCTGTCTCCTCCTTGGATGGCCTCTCTCTTAGGCTCGCCTCTTCTGATGTTGTTGTCGCCTCCCTCCGTCGGCACCTTCTTCGTTGGGTAACCTCTGATATGCAGTCATCGATATCGTCGGCATTGGCTCCGCCCTCCGCAACTCCACCTCTCTTTCTTGTTGCATTTTTATCGGACTCCTCATCCGCCGATTTCATGATCGTCGTTGTCGTCGTAGACTCTCTTCTTATTTTACAATAAAACCACCTCTGACCGCCGCTTCTTCTCTTTTCTTTTCCGACGAGTTGTCACTGTTAATGTCCATTGTCAAAGTTCTGTCATCGTCGCTACCGTTGTCTACATCTATTTTTTTATGTTTTTTTTTTTCTAGTTTAATCGTCTTCTCCAGATCAAACTACCGAGAGATGCTAGTATGTTAGCATCTAGGGGTTAGGTCCACGACCCAGTTATGTTAGTCCAAGAGCCCTTTATATATATATATATATATATATATATATATATATATATATATATATATATATATATATATATATATATATATATATATATATATATATATATATATATACACACACATGAGGTTTAACCCTTATTAATCAAACAAGACATTATCTTATAGTGCCTTTGGATCACATGAGCTGGAAAATCTGTGTTTGTGTTTGTTGGCATGCTTAATAAAAATTTCATCTTCTCCACATGGCCCTTTGTTAATCAAAATTTCATCTTTCTTTGGTGACTCTCACCATACATGCATAAAAAAAAAAGTTTATATTGGTTTGAGGATTTTTACCATTGAAACCGACTTGAATGAAACCGGTTTGAAAAACCAATTAAAAACCAAATTTCAAACCTATTAATAATAATTTTCATATAGTAAAAAATGATGTTTCCATCAATAAGTTCTTCAATTTATTGTTAATATAGGATTTGTAAGTTTCCTACAATCGCTTTCATCCTTTTATTATCTCGAGCACCCAAATAAAATGTGTTTTAGCACACCCCATAGTCTAACTCCCACACCACTTGCCACTCCTAGTGGGAAAAATATTATTTTACAGAATATTTCTAATACAAAATGAGACACAAAATGCTCCCTTTATATATATTTAATGTCATTCTGATTAACTCGACATGATGGAATAATTAATGAGTATGGGACTAAAAACAATAAAAGGGTGGTTTTTTTCATCGAAAGAAAAGACATCAACTAAGCGATAATATAGAAAAATCATTTTATTATTTTGAAAAGCAAATAAAAAGATGCCAACAATATTTGGGCTTGATTATGCTTCGCATGAACCCAAATGATACTCTCTTTAAGCCGAAGTAGAAACTCTCCATTGGCCGCGCCAGCAGATGAGCCGATGTCATTTGGCGCGAAAAAATAAGCTGACAAGAAGTTAGGGTTTCGTATTCGCCCCGAAAATTCTAAAGCAATTTGAATTTAATCAACTTTATACCTACGCTTTATCTCTGTTTGATCAGCAAAAATGGCTTCGAAGCGACCGCGTTCGACGGAAAGCGACGAACAAGTAGTACAACAATGTGCCCCTATGATCAGAGGAGCTGAAAGCTCGTCGGTGAAGTTCAATAATTATAATCATAATCCGCCGGTGGTCGTCTTTGCTCATGGAGCTGGTGCTCCTTCAACTTCCGAGTGGATGACTAGGTCTTTTTGAACTTTTTGCTTTTGCTATATATGCATATGTCTTCACACAAATTTACGTGACTTAGTTACATTTTCTGTGTGTTACGCTAATTTTGCTAAATCAGTTCAAAATCGAACCTGCAGCTTCGGCTAAATTAGGATCCTTTAGGGTGGCCTTTCTGTATAATGCACATCAATTAGATTGTAGGGCTGGCTAGTGGTTAGTAGCTTGAAATTATGTCCAATGTGTTGTAATGCATGGTTCGACTCCAGCTACATGCCGTCGCTTTCCATGAATGCACACTTACAGATCGGAAGTCTGAGCGCGCCTAAAATTTGTCTGTACATATTGGGACTTTTAATAATCGGATCCCCTAGGATTAGTTTGATTTTTGTAGTCAAAAGTATACTAATCATGGAAATACTATGATTTGAACTTTGCAATTTGAAATGCTAATTTCATTAGAGATCTACAAGGGCCAATAGGCAAAAGGCATGTTTACTCAGGTCTTCATTTTTGCTTACCTCAAGATTTCTATCGAACCTCAGGCATGAGTTTTATGCAGATGGAGGACCTTGTTGGCCAATGCTTTAAATCCTGTAGAAGTTGTAACTTTTGACTACCCATGTGAGTTCTTAGTAGTTTAATCCATTTACATCTCTCTCTCATTCTGATACCCTTCTGCAGTATGAAGTTATGCATTTAATCCTTTCATATACACTTGATATGAGATTCATGCACAATGCTATGATAACTGATTAAGACTTCTTGCAGACATTTCTGGTCGAAGAAAGGCTGCACCAGATGCAGAAAAGCTTGTTGGGTTTCACTTGGAATTTGTGAGAAAGGTTGCAGCCAAATACCCAGAACACCCTTTGATCTTAATAGGAAAATCCTTGGGTTCAAGGTAATGATAACTGAACTTGAAATGAGGGAGTATATGAAAAGTTCATCTAAAATTTTCAATTAAGAAACATTCCTCTACTCTCTTTATGGATAAAGAAGAGTTTCTTTAATTTCCATGCAGAGTCAGTTGTATGGTAGCTGCAGAGAATGATATCGGGGCATTAGCTGTAGTTTGTTTGGGATACCCACTAAAGGTTTCCTACTAAAAATCCTTCATTTATTTATTTGGATGTTTAATATTGCATTTTCTTTTACTTATAAATCCAGACCTACAAGTTTTGCTCCATAACAGATTCTCAATAAAACAAAAAATGTGCAAAATGCTGACATTGTTGTAGACCACATGTAAAATAGTATTTGAAAAGATTGATAATGTTGCAGGCCAAAAATGGAGCCATTCGAGACGAAACCCTCATGAAACTTACAGCTCCTATCATGTTTGTACAGGTAAAACAAAAATGTAACTATTCAAAAAAAAAAAAAAAAAACTATGTTAATATCTTTTATTTTTGAAATTTGATACTTAGCATCAAGGTTTGGTTTTTATTCTTGTGTGATGTAGGGAAGCAATGATAATTTCTGTCCACTGAAACTTTTGGAAGTGGTGAGGCAGAAGCTGAAATCTTTAAATGATTTGCATGTGATTGAACATGGTGATCACTCATTCCAAATTGCAAAAAAGAATCTTGAGTTAACTGGAATGACTCATGAAGAAGCTGAACAACGTGCTGCTGAATCCATTGCAATGTTTGTCTCACGAATCAAGAATGAAAAAGTGATCACTGGACCCACAGTAAGTCTGTATGAGTAACATTTTCTATCATCACAACCATAATTCATTTCCCTAATGAATATTTATAACTCATATTATTTACCAACTTCTGTTATATTGTTAATTTATCATTTATTAAAGTAGATAACACATAGGAAAGATAGTAATAGTAGTAGCAGTTGTTATTGTTATTGTTACACACTTAGAGATGTTTTTTGTCATTGTCATTGTCACTATCACTGCTGCTGCTGCTGCTACTGTTTCCATCTTTTTTGCAATTGCAATTGTTTTCTTTCTTTTTTGAGTGTTTCTCTTTCTTCTTGAGATCACCTATCTTGGGTATGCAATTGGTCATGGTCCCATCCTTCTTTTTTTCCTCCTGCCGCCGGTTTTGGGGCGGCGTTTGGCGGCTGATCATGGTGGTGCATCTGGTCAGCCACCTTCTTGTAAGCCGAATTTGCCATTCCTTTTGCTGAATTTGCCATCACTTTGACTTTGTTGGTGAATTTGTGTTCATTCTCTTTAGTTTGACAGCAGGAGCAGGTGTGGTTACACTTGTTCTGGGTAGGGGCATTTTGGGGATTGTTTGGTTTTTGGTGGTGGTTCTGGGCATGGGTGTGGTCAACTGGTCTTTGGCATTGGATTGAAGCCATTAGTGTTTTTGTTTTTCTAATGGTTTGAATCTTGATTGATTGCTCACTCACACACATGGAAACACACAGTGGCATATGTATTTATAGGGATATGATCTGCAATGGGAATTGGATTCCCGTTTTGCAAAACTGGAATTGGATTCTTATTTTTATATTTTTGTTAGTGAGTGCCTTACAGTAGTGGTTTGATTCTTTCGTCATCTTATGGTTTAGTAAAGAAGCCACATATGTTATATTATATAATAATTAGTGGAACGTAAATTTGGCGTGTATTACTTTCTCTTTTGCAAAAAGTGGCATAAAAACAACCAACCAAAATACTAAAAAAAAGATAAACTTGAATACGTGGCTAAAAAGTTGAGCCACAAGTGCCAAATATTTAAAAAAAAAAAAAAAAAAAAAAAAAGATAACTGGGATTGCCATTCATGTAGTTCTACGAAGATTTCGAGGTTGATTTTTGGCATTAGTTTGTTGATTGAGTGTATAAAATAAATAGTAGAGAAGGCAACAATTTGAATAAACACATGCAACCTAAAACTTGTGCAAACATAAAGACTCAACCTAGAACTAACTCGCAACATTTTAATAGAACACGTGTGAACTAGAAGTTGATGCAATTCAATTTTGTCAAGAAAGCAAAAGTGTTGAAGAAGAAGAGTGCCAAAATGTTGAAACTGGTATATTAGTAAGTGCGATTTAACTTATTATTTGTTGGCCAATTTATTATTTTCTAAAGTTAATTAACAATTTTAATTAAAATTTCTACAGATGAGTAGGAAGAAATTTAGGAAGAAGTCAGAGATGATACTGAAAAAGAGGCATAAGTCGGAAAGGATACTAAAACTGAAGCTTAGTCAACGAATATATGATAAAAATGGGAGAGGGTCAACAATTGAGAAAGCAATAGCTTTAGATTAGTGTAGCTTTTTCTAGAATATGGGAGCCCATCTTTTTGTATCATATGGATACACGTTGTAGACTAGACGAGCATATCATTTCGGCATCTTCATACAACATTTACATAGATTTTGAGGCTTTTGGTAGGTGCATTGATTGATTTATGGCGTTTGTTTATGTAAACCAAATGATAGTGGGAGTCTAGCTTTTTCTTAATATTGGTCATGCCATCGGTACATTTTAGCCCGATATTGGTCATGTCATCAAAGTTAACACTTAGAATTGAGAGAACATCATAAGAATCCCCAAAAAGGGATTCATATTTAACAAAATGTCCATTTTTTGGGGGTTAGTAGCTAAAATCGACCTACTATTTGGTGGCAAGAAAGTTATGTATAGAAAATAATAACATATGTTTATCTTTCCTATGTCTCAATCTTAAATGTTTTCAAGATAATTGACAAGAGTGATGTTAAACACTTGATTAATGTTGTTTGTGTAGTGCTTCCAAATGTTGTATTGTCCATGTAAATGTTTATTGCACAAAAATCTTCAAACCAACATCATACATAAAATATCTTCAAACGTTCACGTTCAAAAGCACTTGAATAAATAGTCTTCGACAAACTTTCACTCTAGTTGCCATCCATCTAAGAAGTAGGTACATATTCCTCAATCTATGGACGTGTAATGGATCTCATGTCATCATCTTCACCATAGGCAGAATCTTGGATCTTTGATAGGGTCGATATGATCAACAACTTGTCTTATCATGTTATTCCCTAAGTTTAGTCATCATCTTTTCTTGTCATCTTCTTCAACACATTGGCAACCTATATCTCATCATTATTTATCATATTTTTGAAGTTTGAATAGAACTAATGATTAAACTGTTCCATATTCTTTCTCACACAATCTTCCAAGTGTAGTCTTGACATCTTGTTACATTTCAATAATCTTCTTTAATGCCCTCATTGTTTCAACTTTCAATCCACAAGGTTGCATATATTAAAGAAAATGGTGATGGTTACAGATACAAATAAATTAATCATTACATAGGTGTTCTATTTCTTGGCATTGGTGATTATTTGTTGATCATTGCATAAGTCCATTATTGCAATATTGTTCCACTACAAACTTGGTCCATTGCATAAGTCCATCATTGCGGATATTTTTTTTATTGCTAATTTCTAACCCAACAGTAATAGTGGATCAAATTTGTCGTTCCTTAAGGTTGAGAGGTCAAGTCCGATCGGAGACAGACGACACTAAGAGTAGATTAGTTGTTCCAAAATAAAAAATGAAATTGCTCTAACAACTTTATTTGCAAAAATGCAAGTAAACAATTTCACAGTGACTAGCTGTGAAGTTGTTCATTGCTTTTAAATTGTCATATTTTCTAAATAACTTTAGAAACTAATTTCTCACAAAGGAATGAAAAACAATCTATGAAAGCAAAAAGAAAACAATTCCAAGCGATTTGCGTTACATCACACCAAATTTGTTACATGCAAACCTTCACATTAAACATTGCGAGTAATTTACTTGTCATAGCCAATTTGAAGCTAATGTGAAATGGATAGTTATGGTTAAGAAGATTTCAAAACTTATTTTCGATATAAAATACGAGAAATTCTTTACGAGGAACTCTCAGGTTTGATCCATTTTGTCGTTTTTGTGTCGAATGACATGCAAAAATGCCCTTGTTTTGTCATTTTCGTTTTTTCACAATTAACATCAAGGACCAACTAATTGTGATCAACTTCTCAAATGCAAAATGTAAAGGATTTTAAACAATTCTTTTTGTGAAGTTCTATTTTCATTCTATTAATCTAACGACTCATCAGAATTTGCCAATGAAAACTTCACCTCTAGGGACAACGGAAGCAAATGAAATGAAAGAAATTCCAATATGTTGCTAGAGTAAAGACATCATAGAAAAGCTAATTTGGATTGTCAACTCAAGTCACCTTTGGCAATAGATGTTCAACAGAACAAGTTGAACATGAGAGGCCATTAGTGCTAGTTATCGTTGTTAGGGATCTCTACTGCATTCTTGTTATACTCTTCCATATCCTTCTTGTAAGCTTCCATGGCTTCCGCAGCCTCATCATTCCATTTCTGCTTATCTTCTTCTCTCAATTCCTTCCACTTCACGGAAATCAGAGCAGTCATTTGGGAATTGCTGATTCCTCCTGCCTTTTCTTTTGACAAATCCTTCCTTGCCTCTTTGCTGATTCATGTTAAACACATGATTATTGATTTGAATTGAGTATCAAACAACTTATTTTGCTTCAAATCCTAAAATGGTCATCAAAGAACTTGATCTTTGTTTCAAATCTTGAAATGGGTACCTAAAAAAGTTACCTGAAAAGAAGAAAAGAAGATGGAGGACGCTTGGGCTTGTTAGGATCAACGTTCTTCTTGTTCTTGTTCTTCTTCTCTTCCTTCTTCTTAGTCTTCTCTTCCTTTGTTTTCTAAAAAATAAGGCCCAATTAAACAAATGCCAAAACTAACTCAGCAAAAGCTAGGGACACAAACCTTAATGATGGTTTCTGTTTTCTCTTTCTTTTTAAGCAATTGTAAAGCTTCCTGCTTTAGAACCTTCAAAAGCTCATCTTCTTCCTTCTTAGCATTTTCAGCTTCCTCTTCTTTATTCTGCTTGTACACCTCCATTTCTTGTGTATATTGCTTGTTCTTCTTCTTTGCCACTTTTTCATACCCTGCTTTTTGCTTGTCTGTCATGTTCTTCCATTCTTCTCCACAGATTTTAGCAATCTACCAACACCAAACTCATTAATTAGTTCTTCATAAAAAAACAAACACACAAACAATTTTGACTAAATTGATCTTTTAAACTCAAATTACCTCCACCATACTCTTGCTTTCTGCAATCAGAGCAGTTCTTTTCTCTTTCATAAACAAGAAATACGCAGACTCTGGTCGCTTTGGCTTCAATGGATCTTTCTCCTTCCTGTACGCAGAAAAGAAATCCATAAATCATAATAATAATCCTCGAGAACAGAGTTACTAAAAAACTTGATTTTTGCTTTAAATCTTGAAAAGGGTATCAAAGAACATGATTTTTGCCATAAATCTTAAAATGGGTATCAAAGAAAGGACTTGATAATTACTTGCTCTTTTTGTTATCTCCCTCTTTTTCTGCTTCTTGTTTGAACTGCATGTATTGTTCAAGCAACTCCATAGCTGTCTTCTGTTTCTGTTCTTCTTCCAAAAGCTTCATAGCTTCACTTTCTCTTTTCTCATTATCCATAATTTTTGAATAAGCCGCTTTCTCAATTTGATACTTCTCTTCGTACGGCTTCTTCTCTTCGGGGGTGAGTGTCTTCCATTTCGCCCCCAAAATGTTTGCGACTTCACTGAACTCTGCTTCTGGATTTTCTTTCTTGACCTGTAAAAATCATAAAAACCCCATGATGTTATCAATTTATCGAAGCTTAGAGGCTTTACTAACATTTTATAAGATGAAATTAAAGAAAAAGGATTGTTGCTTGCCTCAGTCCAATGATCTTTACACCACATGATGTAGGGAGTTGCTGGCTTTTTAGTATCTGTGCAACCTTTCTTCTTCTTCTTCACTTGATCTTTGTCTTTCGACGAGTGCAAAACGGGCAGTGTCTGAGAACAAATCATCAAGAACTTTCATAAGTGGTGATCAAGTTTCTCAAAGACTAGAACCAAGAATCAAGCACACAGATTATTAAAGATGTGAAACAAATATATGTTAAAACCTGTTTCTACGTTTCACAACAGTACTCGTTCAAGATTCAACCCTAGTTTCAGAATCAAGAGCTTTCAAAATCAAGAATCAACACACATACTTCATTATAAATGTAGAACAGATAATCAAGAACCTAATTCTGAATTTCCCAGTAATTCCCAATTCAAGATGGAAACCCTAGCGCCAGGATCAAGTACTTCCATCGATTATATAAACTTTCGCAAACTTAAAATCAAGATTTTGCAAGCAGAAAATAATGTATTCTCTTGGTTGAAATCACTTATTTATCGAAAACCCTGATTGATGGAAGTTTCAGAAAAGTTAATGACATACCATGGTGGGTTTGAATTCTTTCAACTTCTTCAACTTCTTGAGCTCCATTTTAACTTTCTCTTGCTCTCTGTTATGTGACTCGAGTTCTTGCTCCTTCAGTTTCAAAAGATCCTCTGCTTGTTGCTTCTCAAGCGTCATCTTTTGAAGTTTCTCTTGCATTTCCTGCAACTCTTTCTCAAATGAAATTGATGTTGCTTCGGGTTTCGGATGATTTTTCCCTTTTCCTGATTTCTTGATCTTTGGAGATTTGTGTTGAGAAAGGCTGTCGGAGTTCTCTTTGCCGGCAAAAATGTGATCAAACGCCAATGGTGGCTGAGATATAGCTCCGGCGACAATGTTAGATTCATTCTGTGAAGAGTTTTTGGGGTGCAGTGGCTTTCTGGTTCTCTTCTTTGTCGGAATAACGATGGGAATCGCGGTGGCGACGTCGGCCATTTGGGTATTTGAATTTGCAGAGCAAAGAGGAGGATATTTTGTTGGTTTGTGCACTGTGTAGTGATTGAGGGATTTATGGTGACTTTCTAACGGTTATCTTTTGGAATTCGGAATGATTTGCCTAGATTTGAAAATCTTACCGTTGAACAACTTTCCATTTCCGGTTAATAATTTAATGTCCAAAAAAACAAAAAAAAAAAAAGAATAGTTTGAAAATTTTAGCGTCGAGGAGCTTTCCATTTAGTAAGTTCAATTAAAAAAAAGCTATTAAAAAGAGGTTCAATTAAAAAAAAAAAAAAGATATTAAAAAACTTAAATATCGGAGGAATCATTTAATTCTTTTTGACATTTCAAAATTTTAACTTAAATTTTTATACAGACGTAGGGGGCGTTGCAACAATAATTGATATGTCCATTTTAAATTGATATGTCAAGTCATCAATAATTTAATATGCCCATAAACCAATACTTCTAGAGATTCAAGGTCGTTATAGTTTCCATTACACTCAAATCAGTTGTGTTATTACATAAACTTTCTACATACTTTTTGGCTTTTGCTATTAAATATTTTCCTGGATTTTCATTTCAACAAATTCACGTATTCCCTTGGTATTTTTACGTAACCAAGACATCAAAAAAAAAAAAAAAAAAATGAAAATTTGGTTTTAATATCAAACTGGAATCCCTCCAACATCAATCATCTACCACCAACTTCATCAACAAATCATTCCACTGATCAATTGGTCCAGGCAAACACCAATGCAAACAATCATACTGAACTTTAGCTTTCTTATCTTTTGCAAAAGGGTAAAAATGTCTATATGCACCTGGATGCCCATCTGGTCTCACCAACGAAAGAGGCATCACATCAAGAA